GTCTCTCTTGCCTGAGATGCAAGCCACAGTCTTCAGCTCCAGCTTTAACAGTAATGAAAGCCAGGATTTCATTTCTACACGGCTTACCTCTTGCTTTACTTCCCAACTGATTCACAACCAGAGCAGGAGGAAAGATGCTATTTCTTGAGCCTCCTCAAATTCCCAACAGCTGGCAATCTCCCCAGATTCTCCTTCCCTTCCCATCAGATGTGTCAGTGAGTCCCAAGAAGTTGAACTTGGAAATAGTTTTGAGTCTTCCCTCTCCTCTCCACCTCAATCATGAATGCCTGCTCTGGGCTCCTCATCCCTCACAGTGCATACACCATGCTGTCTCTTAGACAAAGGAATTGAAACTAACTTAGAGAAGTTAGTTAACTCACTCCATTGAAAACTAGAAAGACTTGGCCACTGTTGAGATAGAAATACAGCTAAGAACAAAAGCAGTATGTGAATTCTGTTTCCTAGAAGGGATTTCAAAAAATTTAAGGATATCAGGGCATCAGTTGGCAAGGATGGAGTTACTTATTTAAAGTTTCATGTGTAAATTTAATTAAAGCAGCAACTCTATGACTTAGAACCTGAAACAATACCCAGCATATGGTAGACACTCAATAAAACTTTATTAAATAAATATTGTTTCATTTGAAAAAACACTGCATTTGGAGTCAGATGTCTCTGAGTCACGTCGCAAGTTTGCCAATTAATATTACCAGCTCTTTAACCTTGAAGAAGTCACTTCTCCTCTGGGAACCTCAGTTTCCCCCTTTATAGAATGGGGTTATATTGCTTTACTTGCCAAGGTCATGGGAAAGATCAACTGAAACAGTATGTGAAAGCATTTTATAAACTAACTTTGTACAATAAAAGACTAAAGGCCCTGCCTCCATCTCTGGGGTTTTCTAGACCAATTCACATTTGCCATTGGTGCATTCAATTCAGAAATTTCGATCTGAGCTTAAACATCAAAATTCATGTTCCTAAAGAACTTATTTCACTAAAAAAAAAAAAAAGCCATCATCCTCTCTAATTCGAACCACGAGAAAAGCATGAAGAGAAACAATTTTTATATGAAAATTGCCTTTGAAACTGTTGAGGCTTTGTTCTCAATCAGGAGTGTATAAGGATGCAACCTGACAACGATTTGTGCACTGGATTTGGTGCTGCTGTGTGTATGGGCTGCATATATTTGATTTTATGGCATTTTTTTATGTTTGCAAACAACATTCTGTAACCTGAAATATCTCTCAGCTTAAATGCCAGCAGTTAAATACACAAAATGGCCAATCAATTTTTCTCCATGCATATGGTCAATTCTTGGTTTTGTGTGAATGCTGAGAGCAGTCAGAAAGAACTCAAAGGAGGAAAGAGAATCAGATCAGGGATGGGGGTGGTCTTAAAGAACATCTCCACTGCAGCCCTTTATTCTACAGAAGGGAAACTGAGGCCCAGAGAGGGAAAGAGGTTTACCCAAGACCACATAGCTAGGGAGAGGCAGGCCCTAGATAGAAACCCAGGACATCTGCTGCCTCTCTGAGCCCATGTGCAGTGCTCCCTTGAGTCTCAGGAGAACTGGCAGTGTTAGGAATGTGTCAGGAAGACCACAGCACTTAAAGGTGGAAACAGGGGAGTTTCTAGCAGACAGCCGTCAGGCCTGTGGAACAAGGTACCCACAAAGCAATAACTTTATTTTACTTCAAGAGAATTTACAGACAATTGATATTCCCATATTTAAATATGGGAGCAAGATCCCAAGCAAAAGAGGAACAGAAAATCAATCAATTCTTTGTCTGTGGCTTTGGATTATGTTTCCTTCTGCTTCCCATCCTTATGAAGCTCATAAAGCATGGGCTTTGGAGTCAGACAGACTCCTCTGTAGAAGCCTGGGCACATGGCTTCATATCTCTGAACTTCAGAGCTGCTGTCTCTAAAACAAGCCTGAGAGCTCCATCAGAAAGTGGGTGTGAACATTAAAAAGTGCCTCATTTAGTAGCCAGCCCAGAATAAGGACTCAATAAATGTTGGCTACCCTTTCTGGCTGACTTTGCCCAATTTATAACGTTTGGGAAAGCAATGCTTTCTGCACTATGCAGAAGTATGTCACAAAGGAAGTAACTGAGATGGTGAGGACAGTAGCCCCCAGCCAGCATGATGCTGGCAATGGACCACCACATCCACAATATCCTGCAGTTACTCCCCCTAATCTTTTCTTGTGTTAAAAAAAATTTTTTAATTTCATTTATTGGTCAACTTTTCCCAGGAGAACACATCTTTAATTTAATCATGTAAATCAATGAGAAAAATCTAATTCACTTTAGAGAAATGTGCTTTCAGACTAGCCTTCTGGGAATGAATCTGTTCCTCAAAGTGTATCTGCAGCAAGCGACGTGTGTCTTTGTCACAGTAACAAAGGGATATAAATTAATCTCTAGCCCGTTTTAGGAAACAGAGAGTTGATTAAATAAATGGTAGCTCTAGTGATGCAAATGATCTGTCATTTTCAAACATCTCAGATATCTGATTTTAATCCTGAATTCTAGCATTCTAAAACTGGAGATTCCATTTGCCTATTTAATACTCAATTTGCCTGATTATCACTATATTAGTTCCAAATACATAACTTAGGATTGTTCCTCTTTTGATTTTTTTCTAACGCTCTTTCCAAAGTCTATCTGGTCTTTGAACAAGGACTGCTCATCTCCGGCTCTGAGTGCTTCGCCTTTCAGATGGGCCACACTCTTGATGCTATATTGTTTTCCTTCCCAGCGAAGCCAGCTGATGGCTCAGATGGTTAAGAATGTGCCTACAATGAAGGACACCTAGGTTCGATCCCTGTGTCAGGAAGATTCCTTGAAGAAGGGAATGGCAACACGCTCCTCTATTCTTGCCTGGGAAATCCCATGTCCATGGAGCTGCAAAGAGCCAGACATGACTGAGCCACTTCCACTTTCTTTCACTTCCTCCCCAGGGCAGTCACCACCTACCCAGCCTAAGGACTTATTGTGTGGGTCAATGAAAAGGACGGATGTGAAAGGCTCTAGTCACCCAGACATACCATTCTTACACACAAAAGTGATGGAGAGAAAAATGAATGATGAAGTCCATTCATGAACCTCCACTGAGGATCCTTCATGCGCCAGACACTCTAGAAGAGGAGAAACCGGGGCTGTTAAGATTTACCTGTAGCCTTAATGAGCTCATCATCTAGTGCAGCCGATAAACAAGTAAACAGATGCCTATAACCCAGCACAACGTGTGTGTTCCCGTAGTAGGAGCCCAGAGGGGGTGCCCTTGACCCACACTTGCAATCAAGGAAACCTTCTTGGAGGAGGTGAACTTTAAGAGCCAGGTAGGAGTTAGCCACTCAGAGAAGAGGGAGAGTCTGTTCATCAATTAAGGCAGCATACACGATTGCACACGACGTCTATCATACACTGACCTTAAAGAATGCAAGGAAAGCAGAGCAGGCAACTTCTCCCGCTGGGTCAGTCTGAAGCCCCATCAGGAAAATGGACCTACCGCCAGTATGATAGCAATAAAGGGTTTGGTGTGGGTATTTGGATTCACACACATGTGGGAGGAGCTGGGGGAGTGGAGGTATAGAAGGCTGAAGAAGGAGGATCAGAGGAGTAGGCAGGAAAAATTTCAGCCCCGAATACTGGAACAGGTGGAGAAGCCAGAGCTCGTGGGAGGTCTAAGTAGCCATGACATCAGTGGGCTAAGTGGGAGGCCTGCGGGAAACCACCACCTCCCCCCACCGCAACAGCTGTGGCTTTGGTTTTACTGCACCGTCCAGGGCGCCTACAACTTCCTCCTATTGGCAAACGCTAGCCCCAACCTTACAGAAAGAGGAATTCTGGAAAACAAAGTTCCCGGCTGTGGAAGGAAATGGTAGTCCTGCTGAGCTGACAAGGAACAGTGCTGCGGTCTGCCCTTGGGGAGCCCCGGTCTGAGAGGAGATGTTAATCAAATAATCACAGCAATATACACACAGGCAGTGAAAAGTGTCATGAGAGCCTGTAGTGGGGGTATGGGGAGGCTTCCCCCTGGGAATTTGCAACTGAGCTAGGGTCTGATGGGCAGGAAGTTGATGCAAATGGGTCCTAAATATTACATTTCTCCCTATATTCTGACTCACTGCCACAGGCGGCCCTGCTTCCTTCTACCAAGAAGAGTCAAGGAAAGATCTGCCCAAGGAAAGGTTTATTGTTCTGGGGACAAAGGGTTAACCTACCTTAAAGAAATATTCTGACCTCAAGAATCATAAATAGAAGGCTAAAGCCAAGTCTCTGCGGAGGGTTCCAGCCGGGAGATCTTCATCTTTAGGGGCACACCTGTGCGGTTTGGGGCTCCATGACCTGGCCCCCAGGTCTCTCCCCTCCCATCCCTGCAGCAAATGGATGAAAAATTATATTATTAAACTTTTTGATATTCTCCTGTCTAATTGAACCTGTGAAATTTCCTAAGGTTCTCCAACCTCCAAAAATTCAATTTTCCATGTAATGCATGGTGACGTGTCAATAAATCATGCTGTAAAATAAATGCGCGGATTCTTTTGTGCGGGAGCGAGTGAGGAATAAACCTTTCGTAATTGATAAATAATGTCATTGGAATCAATAGCTGGCAGAGGAGTTGGAGGAGTAAGCCTGAATCATGTATGAGTGCTCCGAGGTGATCAATGCCTTTGAAACAGCCAGGAGCTCGGGAGCCAAGTGTATAAATTACTGCCTTAATATTACAGCAGGACCCAGAGTTTAAAAGACGGGTTTGTTATGAAGCACTGGTGAGATGCGAAGATGGGTCTGGGGTGTGGGTGGGCACCCTTGGAGGGTTTGTGGGGGTCCCCGCAGACAGGCAGCTGAGGAGATGAGGAGCAGATTGTGCTGTCTGGGACTCGGGATGGATATAGCACGATTCCGGCTCCGGCCGGTCCTGTCGGCAGCCCAGGATGAGACGAGAGAAGCAATCTGCTGGGAGCCAGGGATGCTGCTTAGGAAAATCGCCTAGCTGTCCTCAGATGCCTGGAGGATGCTGGGCCAGGCGCTGACGCACAGGATGCAGACCAGCCTGGAGTTCACTGAATCAGGCTCTCGGTGGCTGCTGCAGGCCATGCAGGACAGAGAAGGAGGATGCACGGAGGTCAGGAGATCCAGCTTACAGGTCAGGCTGCTCAGCCCCGACACCAGCTGTGCAACGCTAACCAAGTTACTTAACGTCTCTGCGCTCTGTGCGTTCCCTTTGCAAAAGAGGGGCTAATGATTCCAACCTCACCGGCTCATGAGGGTGGAGTGGAATCTTGTCACTCTCTCAGCCCAGTGTCCGTTCCTCCCAAATAGTAAGCAAATTGCAGCCATAGTGTTTTAATGATTGCATAAGGTTTTGGACTTGCCACTGGTCGCATTTCTTATATTATCTTATTTAATCCTCACAACAACCCCACGAGGTAGTTACTCTTATTGCCCCCCATTTCATGGATGAGAAAATGGAGGTGCAGAAAAGGTAAGTGTCTTCTTCAGAGCATACTGTCAATTTAGGAGCGAAGATTTGAATGTAGGAAGTTCAAGTCCAGGGCTGCGCTCTGGCCATGAAACTACACTGCCGTGTCACTCCTGCCCTGAAGACGTCCCAGCTGTGTGGGGGGCTGGGCTTGGTGGGCGCTCCCCAGAGTGGTGTTGCGGTCTTCCATCTGCTTCACAGCCTGATGTGAGGAGAAGGCGGAGGATCTGCAGTCAGGCGGGGTGTGTTCAGAGCCCAGTTCACCCATCACTCCTGCTCCCCAAGCCTCTGTAGTCATCACATTAGTAAAATTGGAAGAATTCTGCCCCCTCCAGGTCATCTCCAAGCTTAGGGTCAGCCTGGGCAGAACCCTGGCCCTGCCTGACTGTGTGCTCCTGGGCAAGAATGTTCCATCTGAGCCCATTTCTTCACATCTGAAATGTGGGCCATGACAACAACCCCCAAGGACTGAATTGAGGATCAGATGAGACAAGCTTCCATCCATCACTTTTGTAGCCAGCACCTGCAACCCAGAGGGCCCTCCAAAAGCTCTGGTTCTCCCCTCACCCCCTTTTTGAGCCAAATAATTCAGAAGGAATCTCAGAGAATGTGTAGGACAACTCTAGGGGGAGCTATTTGCTGCTATTCCTGCAGCGCTGGGTGCAGCAGCCAGATCAGAAGGGAAAAAAGAAGACAAATCTATGGACTCAGCTTCAGACCCTTGCTGTGAAAGACCTCCCTGGGGCCAAAGTCGTCCTCACGCTGCGTGTGCTCTCAGCCCCTGGACTTCCCCATCCCGGGACCTGCTTCACTGTCCTGTAACTAAACCCCCTGCACCCTTGTTAGAGGACCAACTCAGCAAGACAGATACTCCGCATCTTAGGTGGGTTGGGTTCCCCCAGAAGCAAACCTTGAGACAAGGATTGGAGTGCAAGGAGTTGGTTCAGAAGCCAGTTTCTTCCAGGAGGCACCCATGGGGGAGTGGGGACAGGACACAGGGGAAGAGTGAGAAGAGTGTCACCCGATAAGCAGGGTGACACTGTGGGCAACTCAGGCTTATTTCCCTTGGGGATCCTGGAAGCCAGTGAAGGATATGCCCCAGAAGGCTACCATGTGATGGGAGAGAAAGTCGGGGTAATTATATATCTGCACTTGGGGACTCCCCAGCCCCGCCACCCGTGGGCGCAGCTGCCCCAGCATCCAGAGCCAGCCCACAGCCCGAGCATCACAGGTGCTTGCAGTAGGAAACCCTCACGTGTGGCAGGAGTGAGAACCACCGTGGGTGGAGCATCACTGCTCCTTACTCTCCCCGGCTTGTCTCTGAAGCCCTGAACCCCGCCCTCAACCAGCCAAAGCCTGGTCTAGAGCCTACGAAATGGAATGAATGAATGAAGTGGTACCTGGATCACAGCTGTTGTACACTGGTAAAAGCGGATCTGAACTTCCAATTCTAAAGCTTAGGAGCAGCGCTTGTCCCAGCAGCACCTGGGGGGGTGACAGGATGCTTTGCTCGGCCTGGGCTGGACCACCCCTGGCACCGCATCCCACGTGTGAGGGCCAGGCAAGTTCAGGCTCATACTTGGAAGCAGTGGGAATCCACTAAATTAGAGCTCATCTTTCATCCCTTCAGGGCTGTTTTGAAAGGAGACAGCTGGTTGGGAAAGCTTCAAAGGCCAGAGAAGTGCGGGGCTTGTTTTCATAGCCTCCCCTCCATATTAACAAGGAGCCAGGACTATCACAGGCACCCCCTAAATGTCCGAGGAACTGACCTGGACTAGCAGAAGACGGAAGGAAAAAGGTTTCAGTTCAGCCACAGAAGGACTTTTCTAGCCCTCTGTGACACAACGGACTAAATATGTCTGTTCACTTGTTGGGCAAACGTTTGTTTAGGACTCTACATGCCAGGCTGAGCTGGATGCTGAGGGCATAAGGATGAACGGTACAAAGTCCTTGACCCTGAAGTCAAGGGAAGAGGCAGATTCATCAAGTGGCAATTAGTGCAGCATCATATGTTGCTAAAACAGGGATGGAAGGAAAGATTATGGGCGCTGAGGGGAAGGGTGGGTTGCCAAAATGCTTGGGGGGTTGTTTGGGAAGTTTTCCACACACTGTTATGTTCTTCCTTTCATCTCATTTAATCATTTCTTTTCTGTGCCAGCTGAGCAAAATGGTCATCCTCCCCATCTCATTAGGACATTCTTTTCTTATGATGTTCCATCAAGAAAGCATTTCTTTCTCAGTCTTTAGACTCTTGAAAGATACCACCTATGCCTTCATTCTGGGTCACTGATTGGAACTGCAACGTCTCATCATCAGCTCTGCCAACTGGTCAACCATGTTCATTCTTCAACTCTCGGGTCCAACATCACCAGCTCCAACAAGCCCTCCACGATTCCATGGGCTGAAGCAGCTCTTCTTTCTTTGTGCTTGCTCTGTCTCAGGACCCATTACCCTGTATTGCTCACTTTTCTTTCTCTCTGTTTAGTTAGGATTAGATCGTGAACAAAACAGAGGCTTAGCAAAGGTAGACATCTGTGTCTAATCCAGATAAACCAAGCCTAGAAGTAAGTTTTTCAAGGTGGGTGTATTGGTGTCCCCCCAGACTCAGGTTCCTTCTAGGCCACCACTCTGCTTTTCTCAGGATGTGACCCTCCTCTTCATAGTCTCTGACATACTGTTGTGTCGAACTCTGCAACCCCATGGACTATACAGACCATGGAATTCTCCAGGCCTGAATACTGAAGTGGGTAGCCTTTCCCTTTCCAGGGGATCTTCCTAACCCAGGAATTGAATCCGGGTCTCTGGCACCGCAGGCAGATTCTTTACCAACTGAGCTATCAGGGAAGCCCATAGACTGGCTCGGCCTTCTCCAACCCCTCTGTCTTCCCAAAAGTACAGCTAAACTACGTTTCCCAGGCTCCCTTGCCATTAAGTGTAGACTTCTGATGAGGGCATAAGGATGAATTCTGGCCAGAGGAAATTGACAGACGTGTCCCTGCCAGATCTGGCCACAGGACCATCCAAAACAGCCCTCTCTTCTATTCTCACCTGCCTGTTGACGAAGGGATTCTGAAGAGCTGGAAGAAGATAGAGTCACAGGATGGAAGGAGCCCATGTCCCTGAGTCACAGCTGGACCGAGAACACCTGTGACTGTCACCTGAGCAAGGCGGACACCTTTACTGTGTTGGGCTGTTTTAGCAGCGACTTACTAAGAGGGACACAGTTGTCCACCCCAAGCCCCTCCTCCAAGAAAGGCCTTTTGCCCAGTTCACGGGGATGCTGTCAGCACACAGCCCTCAGTGGTCAGCCCTTTAAGAATCTCCCTGAGCCAGCTGAGAGAGCAGCCGGCTCAAGGCGTTGCCCCATCTGGGTGGCCCGCACCCAGTGGCTGATTGCAGCAAAGGTATAGAAGGGTACAGAGGCCCACCCACATCAAAACCGATCCCTCCCTCTGCCCAGTCTTGCTTCTTGCCTCTCTCTTCCATGAGTGCTATCCCCAACGCCATTCCCCAGTAAATCTGCTGCACATTAAACTCCATCTCCATTTCTGCTCTCAGGGAACCCTACCTGAGACAGCTGCCCCAGCTCCAGCCATTACATCCACAATCCAGGCAGCAGGTTAAAGAAGTGGGTGAAAAAGCTGTCGTCTTCTTACGAGGGCTTTCCAGAAGTCACTTTGGCCATATCAAGCCACTAAGGAGGCTGAAACATATAGCTTTATTCTGGGAAGCCACGTCTACCAGACTACTCTGGTAACGGGGGAGACTAGATGTGGGAGATGGGGCCGTCTCTGTCATCCGGCCTTTGTTGTCCAGCCACTAAGTCGGGTCCAACTTTTGCGACCCCATGGACTACAGCACGCCAGATTTCCCTTCACCATCTCCCAGACTTTGCTCAAACTTACGTTCATTGAGTCAATGATGCCATCCGACCATTTCTGTCACCCCCTTCTCCTGCCCAGAATCTTTCCCAGAATCAGGGTCTCGTCCAGGGACTTGGCTCTTCACATCAGGTGGCCAAAGTATTGGAGCTTCAGCTTCAGCATCAGTCCTTCCAATGAATAGTCAGGGTTGATTTCTTTTAGAATTGACTGGTTTGCTCTCTTTGCTCTCCAAGGGACTCTCGAGAGCCTTCTTCAGCACCACAGTTTGAAAGCATCAATTTTTCAGCACTCAGCCTTCATTACGGTCACAGCTGTACATGACTACTAGAAAAACCATAGCTTTGACTATACCGACCTTTGTCAGCAAAGTGATGTCTCTGCTTTTGAATACGTTATCTAGATTTGTCATAGCTTTTCTTCCAAGGAGCAAGCATCTTTCAATTTCATGGCTGCAGTCACCATCTGCAGTGATTTTGGAGTCCAAGAAAATAAAATCTGCCTTCGTTTCCATTTTTTCCCCATTTTTTTTCATTTGCCCCGAATTGATGGGACCGGAAGTCATGATCTTAGTTTTTTGAATGTTGAGTTTTAAGCCAGCTTTTTCACTCTCCTTTTTCACCGTCATCCAGCCTAGCTGATGCTAAAAAAGTATCACACTTATCAAACTCCTACTCTGTTCAAGCTTTGTGACTGGGGTTTACATAAATCACTGTGCTGAAACCTGATGAAAACTCCCACCCCAGTGAGGGAGGTGCTGTTAAGATTGTCCCCATTTTAGAAATGAATAAACTGACGCTTAAGAGCCCACAGTCAGACAGCAAACCCAGGGAATAGCAGGGATCTAGCTGTGGCTGATTCTGACTTTGGACCCCACTGGCTTAAGCACAGGGTGATTCTACCTCTTGATGGAACAGTGAGCCCCCTCGAGGCACAGAACCTGCCTTATATACATGGTACGTATACAATACACACGGTGCCTGCCTAGCAGAGCCCTCCCACCCCACTGGTTAAAGGGGAGTGAAAGGGAAGGGAATAATTGCTGGCCCTCACCTGGAACCATTAACTACTAACTGAGATAACCATGTCTGGAGATAATAACTGGAAAAGAGGAGGCAGGAAAAACGTTGTGCGGATTCACACTGGCTGAGTTTAGGTGCCTGTGGAACGCCCCAGGGAGGGCGCCCAGTTGGTGGCTGAATCAACACGTCTGAAGTGATGCTGGGAGGTCTAGACTGGAGCTACGGGCAGGAGCATCCTGAACTCAGGCAGCAGTCATCATGAACGTCACCAAAGTCACCCAGAGCGAGAGTGTAGAGAACCCACAGCTCCGTCTGCAAACCCAAGCTGAGTTCCCAATTAAGGAGCTCATTCATGCCTCAGCCTTTTTCTTTTATATTCTCCCCCACCCCTGGGTTAATTTCCTTATTTGCTTTTTCTGCCCATTTTGAAGGATGATTGGTTTTTCTGAACAAAGAGCCTATTGTGTGTGTGTGTGTCTCTGTGTCTGTGTGATTTTAAGGTCTCGCACCATCCCAAACCCTTATCCAGATATGGGGTGATATAAAAATATACATATCCAGTATATTTATGTACACACACACCACCTTAATGTACTCGCAACTGGATCGTTAGAATGGCCGTAAAGTGAATGCACATCTGGGTGGGGGCAACTGCATGGATCCCGTACTACCTGGCAGTGATCATAAAAATCCCAATAAGAGGGAGCAGTAGTGTGTTTGACTGGGAGAATGATTCTTGTTTCCTTTTCATTATTCTTAATAAAAGGAGATGGTGCCGAAAAATTGTGTTTCCTGGGTTATTTTCCCCAAGAGATCTTTTATAAAACACAGAATACATAACAGACCGTGTTGCAGGCAAATGCCTCATTAAGGGAATATAGTTAGAAAGAAATAGTAACCGAAATGAACAGTTATTTTCTTTATTTTTTTTTATCCTCTGTAAAATGAAGAAATTGGATGCGATATGGATTTAGTAACAGTCCTCAAAGAATATCTGGGAAGGCGATGCTTGCATTCTGAAATGGAAGAGTCTTTAGATGCTGTTCTGTAAAAAGGCAGCAGGTTAAGGAAGTATATTACAAACTCCGGGAAAAGGGTTCTGTCTCCCTGAGAGTCTTCTTGCCATTTTTATGAATTGATTCAATCAAGCGCATGGAGGCTTCCTTTTTTTTCCTCTCCCATCCTACATTGCATGCAGAATTCCCCTGACCAGGGATCAGACCCATGCCCCTTGCAGTGGAAGCTCAGAGTCTTAACCTCTGGATCACTAGAGAAGCCCCATTCTAGCTTCCTTGTGCCTCCTTCTCTTTCTCTACTTTTTCCTGCAGGGATTCTAAACTCTCTCAGTATGTGAGCTGATGATTCCAAATTGCCATCTCTGACTCACTCTCCAGAGCTCAAGACCCCTAGGTCCAAGAGCTTCCTGGACACCTCCACCTGACTGCCCCCGACCCTTCAGTCACCACATCCCACGCCAAGCTCGTTATCTGCCCCTCACTCCCCTGCTCCTCCAGGATTCACACCTTGGCCAAGAGCATCACTACCCATCCCATCACACAGACCAGAAAAACCTGCAATCAAG